AAACCCTGTGTGAGAGGGAAGGGGAGGAGCATGGACAGAGAGGTTAGGAGTCTCACGGTTTTCTGACCATGTGCACAGGTAGTTTTGGATAACTGCTATTTTTTGGAACTTTCATGCTTATTTTGGAAGGAGTTCATTGTTACATCTTCAGTTTGTAATAAATAAACAGTCTTCAAATCATAATGCAACTGGAAGCATTTCTTTTGGAAACCAGGAACACGCGTCAGCCATAGACTCCCTTTTTTGAACTTGGTTTATTGGAAATTACCCTACAGGCACGTTGGACATTGTTTAGAGTTTGTGTCTGAAAATGGCTCAGGTTTCACTGATTGTCCTTCTTGCATTCTGGTATAATTCAGAATTAAGTTTATGGTCCATTTAGAATAAACTCGCATGAGGTGTTTGCTCACCAAGTCAAAAATCTAAAGCACTTATAGTATAGTAAAGCACTCAATCCATAAAAATCACTATATTGTAGTTTTCTGCACAATTAGACAATGTGTGGAAGGAGAGGGAAAGGATGAGAGCATGTGTGCATGCGAGTGTATGTGAACACGAAAGGAGGCACGTACACACTTTCTCAAATTAAGATTTGTAACAATAAATATCACCACAATAATAACTTCATTATCCCATGGATGAACTGCGCCTCCACTATGTTGCACTGCATCTTGTTGACTTTGTTTTGATCTGCAGCCTTAGCGAGCTACAAGGGGAGCAGCGTCAGCCACCTTGTGCAGGTTCTGGTTAAAGTGGACCTCCAACTTTTAGAGTCTCCAGAGCAGAAAAAGGAATACTAGTACAAGAGATTTGTTTGAAAGTCTCCAGTCACTCTTCTATGTAAATTCAGCCTCTAAGAGTGCAAGCTATAATTCTGGCAACTTAAATCAGAAGCTTATAACAATTTCTTTGCACCTTTATAACATTTATATCTAAAATCTGCTCGAGTAAAATAAGATGAGACTACCTTCTGTTGGATTACAGTCACCACCATGCATCTGCAAGATTTAAACACTCAGTCTTCTTTGCTGTATGTAATGACCACAGACTGAAGAGTAAACTGGAAACTCGGCCTTAAGGAGGTGAGACAAGAGTTGAGCGGGTTTAGAATTTATGTATCCTGTGAACTATAAACCAAGTGTTTCTGCTCGGCTGCAGTTTACACAGCTGATTATTTCACCAGCAGTGATAATTAGTCTTACACCTTATACACTCCCCTACATAAGTCCTGACCCACACCTTTCATCAAGCATGCTCTGGTGTTTCTGCATGTGTGCGCATGCTGGTAATTTGTGGTTGTATCAGGCACATGCTCTGCGGTGCCCGCTCGTTTGTATGTGTGTTTGGAAAGGGGGGGGACCGTGGAAAATTAGCACAGACACAAACGCTCCGTGCGCCTGAACTATTGAGTTCACACAGTGACAGAGCCATCCTCCACAACCGATCGGAGAGGAGAGGAGCCCAAGGCCTGCAACGAGCTCCAATAAATCACAGAGCACACGCTGCTGGCAAAGCAAAGCCTCCCCACCTTTCAGGAGAAGCAATGCGGAAGAGATGTTGTCACTGATAAACAGGCGGGGAAGTATGGCACCAAATGGAGGGCACTCTGCAGCTCAGCAGAACATAAATAAAGCCTGTGGAAGCATGGAGCTCAGTGGAGCATGTGTAAACTCCAGATACAGTTACCTAGGTGTAATGCATGTGTTAAAGACTGTTTGTGAAACTGCTTTTGGTGCGATACAAAGTCTGTGCTCATAATGCCAAACGCAAATGTAATTAGTAGCTGGTAGTTGCACTGATATGTATCTCTGATGTTTCTACAGTATGTGTGGAGAAAAGGAAGGACGTCCTAACGTCTGACTGCATGGAAAATAGCCTCGGCCGTGTTAGCAGCATTCCTCTAGTATTGGTTGGTCTCCAGAGAATAAAGCAAACTGCCTGTAGACATCCATGGATGTTTGCTCAGCACTGAACTGGAAGACTTTTGCTTTTCACCAGAATATTTCTGAATGTCTGTTGGATATATAGATGGGAAACATGGCAGCTACGTGACAATGACTCGCTGAGCTTTGGAGCGGTTTCCCAAATGACTTTCTACCTTTGACACCTTCTTGAAGTCTGGTTTATTGTAGGGTTTTTACTTGACAATATTGGATTGAACTGGTTCTGTGCAGGAAATGTATGATGCCTTTAAAAGTTACCAGAATAAATGATTAATTTCTTTATTTCAGCTGCTAATAATTTGAGTGGTAGCTTTAGTTGTTTTCTGTAGTATTATTATAATTTTCTGTATTATTTGTCAAAAGAAATATATGAGTTTGCAATTTATTCATATAGCACTTTCAGAAAGCTTTCTTAGCACTTTCAACAACAACACAAACAGGTGACTCACACTCATGTAGACACTCAATAAAATCCTCTCACGCTGATCTGTTGACAAAGACTAAAACTAAAGAGTACACAGCAGAATTACAGTTCTTTGTTTTCTATTTTTTCACTTAGCTTAAGCTGGAGGAAGCCTGGGTCTGCACGGGTAGAAGCTGAGTTTGGAAAACATTTCGACTTTTGACCAGCGTAACTTTGTCTGCTTTCTCTGGGGCCGTGGAGCGTAGCCGCTACCCCTCATCCCTCTGTGTTCATATGTGAGGTCACACACACACACCCGGACACAAAATGCTTCTGTGCGGCGGTGGTAACGTGATCTGGCAGCCGTGGAGAAACCAGGAGTATGCTCGCAGCAGCACAAACATGCTGCCTGTGCGCTGTTACCACAGCTATGGCCTAATAGTTTCTGATGGACCCACAGTTTTGCTTTATGCGTCTGTGCGTGCAGAGGGTACAACCCCAGCTTCCCCCGTGTTTCCATTAGGGTGCATATTAATCCACTTTCAGCCCACACCCCTGTCTCCTCCAAATACCCACACCCACTGGAGGAATCGGGAAGGAGCAGGAAAAAGTAAAAGCAATTTGTCGCTCACTCTTATAGTTTATGACATTTTTAAACATTGTTTTACTGGATGCAGGTGTTAACACTTTTTACGTCAATATTACTTTTGCTCATGCAGCGTTTAAGGCTTCCTCAGCGTTGCACGGGTCCGTGAGCACCTGCACTCTGTGTATGATTCAGCCTGTCAGACACAAGAGGTGCAGGAATGTGGTCCCCCCCCCTTACTGCTCGCTTGCTCCACCCCCCTCTCTGCTCCCTTACTGCTCTCTGGCTCCCCCTCCCTTACTGCTCCCTTGCTCCCCCTCCCCCTCCCCCATTTGCCCTGCTCCCCTTCTTCTTCTACTTCCCTTTAGTCCCCAGAGATTCTTCCCCAAACCCTTCAAGCCTCAAAGACATCAGACTTGTTTCATCAAAAAAAAAAAATGAAAGCCTCATGCCCTGGGGCGAACATCCAGGGACGAATCTTGAGTCTGTGAAGCAGGGCACTCGATTCCTTTGCTGTTCTCCTGTTTGTTTTTGTCATTCTGTCGAGGGATATGTCAAACACCTTCTGTGAACATATCACTTCATTACAGGAAATCCATTTTGCTCAGCCCTTCTGACTTGTCAGAATTACTTTAGCATCAATTCACAGGGTTACAACGACCTCTACACTGAGGGATGAGCGGGAATTCTAACAATTTCTCTTACTGGTTGCGAGTATTTGCTTTGATCTTTATTTCCTGAAAGAGAAGCTGATCTATTCTCCGTTTGTCTCTTTTCTCTGCCGCAGTAACCCACGAACACTTGAAGGACCGCGCCCTATTCAGTCTCCCGCCACCGCCTCCGGGAGCGAACCCTGCAGAGTACTACCTGATGGCCAGCGCCAGCCAGAGAAGCCCCTACGGTGACCTGCTGATGCAAAGTGGTGCGGCGGCGGCGGCGGCGGCTGCAGCGGCCGCAGCTCACCTTCCAGATTACATCAGCCCTGTGGATGGTGAGGAGAGAAATGTTGAGTGTACTGACACTTTTACTGTACCCATCAATGTATGCATTAATAGTTTAGCTGAGAAAGAATACTTTGAGTTTAAGACAGGGTCATTTTAAGGAAGCTAAATGGTATGTTCAAAAAATATAATATTTAATTTCAAGTTTCCATAGTGGAAAAAAGTCTAAAAAGGAAAAATGGGGTAAAAAAGAAACCAAACTGTGTAAACCAGTAGACTCAACAGAGACAGGAAGCCACATGAGGAAATAACCTTCAAAATAAAACAGGAAGAAAACTGAAAAGATGAGAAAATAACAACCTACAAAGATAGGGAGAGGGAGGGGAAACACAAAGTCCCAGTCCCAAGTTGACACAAAGTGACACATGATCAGAGCCTATTG